GCACCGGGAAAGGAAAACAAGGAGAGGGGAAGGCAAGGAGCCCCATCAAGGATTTAAATGTGGTTTTCCCTCCTACTGAGAGGGCCCCTGAACTCAATAAATGAGAATGACCCTAGCTGAACTTCTGAGCTTGAAAGCCTAGTTGGTTTTTAAAAGGAGTTCTTCTTTTTAAGATCAATTGTTCAACAGAACTAAAAAGCTTGCCTTCAGAAGAGGCGCAGTCCTAAAACCTACAGGGTAAACCACGGAAAAGCAGGAATGTGCCATGCCTCTATAGAAAGCGGGGAGCCCCACACAAGCTGTTGTCTGAACACTGTGACTCTGCTGCCCCCCCTATTCCTACTGAACCAGAAACCTGAGAATCTGAATTAAGCTCCAGCTAACATGACTTAAATGAACCGGCTGTGACAGGAACCTTAAACCACATGTCATTTGGTTGTGGGGCTGCCCTGGGCCAACAGACATTGGGAACAGGGCTCCCAGCTCACACACGGATTGTGTTCCAAATGTGCATTTGGAAGGCCGTAGTTTGAAAGGCAGAATGCACTTTCCCAAAGAAGCGATGTTATAAATGGTGATGCGGGCCCAAGCCAGCTCACAAAACTCCACATAATCATAATATAGCTAGACTCTGTACATTTCAGCCAAAAAAAAAGAATAGTGGTCAATAATATTAGAATACTAATAATTAAAGAATGAGATAAGCAATAATGTTGAGGCTCTTTCATTTATCTTGAGGGGTAGTGTTTAAGCAAAGGAAGATTTAATTAAAGGATGAAAAGGTCTATCCAGGAAGGCCGAGAGGCCAGGGCAACTGGGGCTGTAGTCAGGAACCCTAGCAACTGGGAATCAGACTAGCTTGCAAGATTTCTACCAATTCTAAGAGGCTAGTATCTGCACCTGAAGGCCAACCTAGCACCCAAGAGGGGTTAGCTGGTGGGGGTGACTGAAAAAGAGTTAGCCGGAGTGTCTCTATGCAGCCATTTCAGCAACCAAGATAGGACCTAGCTTCAGTGTCCCTCTCCTTTTAGAAACCATTACCCCCCCCAAAAAAAAAATTTTTTTTTAAATAAAAAAATAAAAAAATGGGGCGCCTGGGTGGCGCAGTCGGTTAAGCGTCCGACTTCAGCCAGGTCACGATCTCGCGGTCCGTGAGTTCGAGCCCCGCATCAGGCTCTGGGCTGATGGCTCAGAGCCTGGAGCCTGCTTCCGATTCTGTGACTCCCTCTCTCTCTGCCCCTCTCCCCTTCATGCTCTGTCTCTCTCTGTCCCAAAAATAAATAAACGTTGAAAAAAAAATTAAAAAAAAAAAAAAAGAAACCATTACCCCCATTTATGACCCAGTCTGCCCCAACCCCAGGGATCACAGAAGCGGAGAGCTTTTGGTGCCTCTTTCACACTGATTTCTGAGATCAAACTCTCTCAGATACTCCCATCGCCTGGATGGTTTGAATTTGACATCCTACCCCCGGTTAGACTGACTGTAAGACTGCCACCTCCTTCATGGCAGGGAGGCCCCACAGTTGTTTGGACTGTCTCCCTCTACCACCCTACCCCATGTGACCAGTACCACACCTGGTTACAGACATTTGAAATCACTCATTCTAGCTGGGAGGCTAAGGATCAACTATATATTTTTATCTGTAAATATGAAAAAAGACATGAGAAAAGAGGAAAGGAGAAAATCGAAAAAGAAAGTTCCTTGAAAAAGACCCCTTTGTAAGACAATAGAGCAGACTTCTGTAAGATCTAACCAGTAGGTGGCACCATCAGCCTAGGGCAGTTCAGTTGTCCTGGGAAGGATAGCAGAAAGGGGAAAAATCAATGAGTGCTGGTCAGAAAGTGGGTAGGAAGGCTGAAGGCAGGCACTTTGCAATAAGTAATTTAAAATATACAAGGCGTTCCTGTGAAGTATGCATTTTAGATTAACTCGCATATACATAAATGTAAAAATTAATTCCCTTAAAGTTACAAAAACATCTCGTAATTTTATTTCTTAAAATTGGTTTGTACTCCTTGCCCACATTCTATTGATTTACACTTTTTAAAAATTAATTTCTAACAGTTCTATCTTTTCCTGAGCACTAATTCTTTGACAGCTAGATATATGCAAATACATTCCCTCGGTCCATGGCTTGCTGCTTTTTTTTTTTTTTTTTAATTTTTTTTTTCAACATTTATTTATTTTTTGGGACAGAGTGAGACAGCGCATGAACGGGGGAGGGGCAGAGAGAGAGGGAGACACAGAATCGGAAACAGGCTCCAGGCTCTGAGCCATCAGCCCAGAGCCCGACGCGGGGCTCGAACTCCGGACCGCGAGATCGTGACCTGGCTGAAGTCGGACGCTTAACCGACTGCGCCACCCAGGCGCCCCGGCTTGCTGCTTTTTAATGTCAACTTTTTATTGTACAGAAATTAAAAATTTTTAACATAGACTAATTGACTAACCTTTTCCTTTATGATTTGTTGTTTCTGAGTTTTGTTTAATATATTTTTACCACCTTGGGGTGACAAAGATATTTTTTTTAATTGTCTTCTTACCTTTTGCTTTTTAAACCACCTGTTCTGTCTTGGCATAGCAAGCTAATTACTAATTGTCCATCCTTTCCCTGCTGATTTGTCAACTCCTGTCATAAAAGTAGCTTCCTGTAAACGCATGTGTCTGTTTGGGGGCTCTCTATTCTGTTCCATGGGTCTATTTCTCTATTCCTGCACCAGACACAATACTAACGCTAATTTTAGTATTTTCTAACTCTTCTTGAATCCACCTCTTCTTGAATCCACCTGGTTTTTGAAACACCTTTATGACATCAGCTTATTTTCTTCAGTGCATCATTACAATCACCTCAGGGCTCTAGGTCAAGAGATGACAGAAGGATGCGCGAACTACAGCTCATATGCTGAAGAGATTAGCACTAAGCGACAGGAATGCTGTTCGTCGATTCCAGGATTTATGAGAGTCAGTTGCCAAGCATTTGCTCTGGAAAACAGGGTTGCAAAGTAATTAACTTTGGTTAGGTGCACCACTCCAGAAAGCAGTGGTTACCTTTCTGGGAAACAAGATATCGGTCCTATATCTGGAAATGGGTCACTAAAGGAACCAGGCATGATAGAGTGGAGTAGAGTAAGTCCATTACCACCAGTGGAGAAGAAATGAACTTTTTGAGTTTTAGTCTCTGATGGCTGTTGAGCTGAAATCAGAAGGAAGAGAATTCCCTTTGTGCTTACCTGTGTCTCCAGCGAAATATGCAGACATTTCTGGTGTCAAGCAACCAAGGAAGAGAATCTCCTATCAGGGAGCCAAAACTTAGGTAATGATAATGGGCCAGAGTTTACAGGATAGGGAAATTCTATTTCCATCTGGACCTTTTACAGGGGCTTGGGGAGGGCAGATGGCTGACTTAGAGGAATCCAGATGAATTCGAGGACATCCTGGACTGGAGAGAAAAATGGCCTTTGCCACATGAAGACAGGCCAAGAGCTAGGCAGGAAGGCAACATGTCTAAATGAACTCATCATCTTTATACCCAGAAATCTCCTGCTCTTTGAGTATTCCCATTCTCAGCACCCTCTGCCCAAATGCCAGGCAGGATCCTAGAGGATCAGTAAGTCTTATAGATTCTGGTAACGAAATCTGGCTCCATCCACATCTCTCCGTCCCCTTTCCATCCCACCCCGACACACACTCACACACACCACCAAGGCCATTGCTGTCTTTCACTGGAACTATAGCAATAGCTTTCTGACTGGTCCCCAGGTCCTGAATCATAGTTGAGCCCTCCTATCCACCCTTGAATCCAAAAGGCAAATTCCCACTGTACCTAACCTACTAGTTTTGGAACTTGGGCTAACTTCTGCACCTCTCGTGCTTCAATGTTCTCATGTAAAATGGAGATAATAACACCACCCACCTTGTGACCTTGTTGTGAAAACTGAATGCGTTACCACAGAGCACAGTACTTGGAACAGGAAACACAACTAACTGTCCTGCATGTGTGTGTCTACACTCTGCTAGGTGGCAGGGCCACCATGGCAGAGATGTGTCCAGCAGCTTCCACGGGTACCTCCGTGTAGGTGTTGAAAACTATGAGCCATCACAAACTGGAATGGAGTAAGCCATATTTTGTAAGTCAGACTGCCTACTTACCTGTTCCCTTTTTGTCTATTGCCCTCCATTAACACCAATGCATTCCTAAAAGCTTCCCCAAATGTTCCAGCCTTTTCTGGGCCGTAAGTGCAGGCTCAGGCCTATTGCTGAGGTCAAGGAGAACACCCCTGAAGGTGGAGGGGACAAAGGCAAGCTGGGAATGATTTCCCAGGGGGAAATGCACCCCGGCCTAGAGGCTCCATCTTCTCTCTTCCCGCTCCCCCCCCCCCCCCCCCCGCCATCATCTTTGGAGGTGCTAGGTGTGACTTCACCAGGGACCTGTCCAAATTATTAAAACTGCAGATAAGAGGAAAGAAGGGGCTATGGGCCCTGGGACAGGAACGCCACTGGAGATGCAACAGAAGTTGAGGAGTCTCGGGAACACATAGGGTGTAGCTGGCTCCTGGTCTCCCAAGATTTGGACAGCCACCTGAACTCCCGCCTTCGGGTGAAGGCTTCTGAGGAAAAGGGCGGAGGAGAAAACGACCCCTCGCTCCCTCTCTCACCTCCATTTCTCACTCTCCGTACGCCCCACATCTCTTCCTACCTACTTCCGAGCCGGCCTCCAGCCCTGCGTCCTGGTGATAAAACCGCCGGCCCCTATCCAGCCCACAGGGCCGGGCGCAGGTTGTTGTACGAGCCGCGATGGCCGACCACTGCTTGTCTGTAGAGGGGAAGATCCCCAAAGGGTCTCCTCAGCTAGGAGGAGGGTGGGACTCGGGCGCAGGGCGGAGGGGAGGCGCACGGCCCGGGGCGGGGCCGCCGCAGGCTCAGACGGCACCCGGCGCTCGCGCCGGAAAGGGCGTCCCCCAGCGGCCTCCCGGAGACCCTCCCCGGCCCGCGGAGCGCTGGAGCCGCCGCGGCGGAGGCATGGCCGCGGGGGCCGCGGTGCGCGAGGCGGCACCGGCGCTGGAGGCGCCTCCCCAGCACGAGCAGGTACCGGGCGCCGGGCGCAGGCGGGGGGACACGGGGCCAGGGTGCCTAGGCTCACGCGGGGGCTGGGTGGCCGCACGGACTGGTCTCCGAGTCGCCCGCCGCGGCACGGATGACCTTTCTGGCAGGTGCTCGTGACGTCGCCTCCCACGGGAGCCGAACTCCTCTCCATTTCTCTCTCCCTCTCCCGCTCCTCTCCCTTCTCATCCCCTACTCCTCGTTTTCCCCTCCCTTACCCCGCCTCCCCCACTCTGTCTCCTCCAGAATGAGCTTTATCCGACTCATCCCTGTCCATTCCCTGCTTTCAGTACTGGTTGCCCCTCTCTCCTTCCAGCTCCCCGACAGAAGCCCCAGGGCCCAGGTGAAGGAAGAGGACAGCCGAAGGGTGCTGGGTGTACATCAGGCTTGACTGTATGGTTCTCAAACTGCAGCGAGCATCAGAATCACTCTGAAAGCTAGGTAAAAAGCAGATGGTTGGACTCTGCCCCCAGGGTTTTGAATTCTTGACCTCTGGGATAATGCCTCATCATTTTGCAAGTCAGACTATTTCCCAGGAGGTGCTGATGCTCAAGCTTTGAGAATCTGTAGGCTAGCTATCCCCTCTAGGTTTCCCATGGTGATTTCAAACCCCGTCACTACTATTTTTCATTTATAGATGATTCTTAGGCCATGATCACATAGCAGGAACTGTGCTCCTCCTGGGATACGGGGGATACAGTTAGAGGTAGACCTTTCCTCTGGGAACTCACATCCCAGTATAACAAGGACAAAATAACTCATAGAGGGTAGGAAGAAATTACTGTCCCCAAAGAAATTACTGTTCAAGTGAAGTTTTGTAGGATTTCTAGGAAGCGAGGAATTGCTTCTGGTAGGGAGGGTGGGCAAGGCTGACTGGGCGAATGGGGGTGGCTGGGCTTTTCAGCTGGGCCTCAGGGGGATGGGTGAGATTCCATGTGGCCATGAGAGGAAATGAGAATTCTCCATGCAGGAAATGGGAATACCAAATTACTTGGAGGTGAAAAAAAATTGGGGGGTGGGGGGTGGGAGATGACCATGGAGAAAGGTGGGGGTGGGAGTGGATATTCACTATGACCCTGGCAGAAATCCAGGGTTCATGAAGGCTTGTAGGAAGAGAAAGCTGGGTTATGGCAAGTTTTGTATCATGCTATGCATTGGAGATTTATTCTCTAACATGGGGAAGCTATAAGGGAACTCCATGACTTACTTGCTGGTTTCAAACCCAGATCAGATCGTTCACAGAGCGTTATGGACGAAGAAGTCTGCGTGCTGGGAAGGGCAGAAGACTGGCAGAGTCACTTCTGCAGCTGATGTTTGCTCTCCCTTAAGGGTGCCATAGCTGCCTTGCCCACTGCCCTCAGGAGGTGTGGTCCCCTGTTAACTCTGTCCTGGGAGCAACTCAGAGCTTGTCCCTTAATCCCCCCCTTGTTCTGCTTTGCTGGCTGCTGTACTTCCAGAACGAAGCACAGAGTCTGGCAAATGGCAAGGCCTCGGGAAATGTTTATTGGACAAATAAGTGAATAAATAATAAACATATAACCTCATGATCTGGGACTCTAGTCTGCCCAGCTCCCTGTGTACCTCTTTGTGCCAAACACCCCCTCCCTATTCCCCATCCTCCTTCTCCCTGTGGCCTAGGAAGCCAGCTACACCCTATGTGCTCCTGAGACTCCTCAAAGTTAGGGTGCAAGAGAGTAGACAGCATGGACTCGGCAGTTCTCTTTTCTGCTTGTCTGAGGCCTGCTTTGCAGGCTTTGATTTCCCCAGAGGACCCATCTCTGCCTCAACACTGTTCTCTACCTTGGAGAAGGCCAGACACAGCCCCTCCCTACCGCTCCATCCGTGGAAGCTTTGTCCTTGCCCAGTGATATGGATTCCATATCACTGAGCACAGCTCTCCAAGCCTAACATCCTTAGCTCCTGCTCACATACGTCCCAGGGATAGCAGTAGTTTGAGTTTACTGTTCTGGTTTTGCCACTCATTTTAGCGATATTTCTCTAACAGATGGATTTTTGTGAAGAGTTGAAAGTGGGGAAACTAATTTGGAGGCAGCAGCTGAGGTAAGAAATGATGAGGGCTGGCACTGAGAGGGAGGCAGTTTTCAAATACAGTTAGCCCTTTAACAGCACAGGATTGAACTGCACAGATCCACTTACAGATTATTTACAGGGCAGTACTCCAAATGCATTTTTCCTTACGATTTTCTTAATAACATGTTTTTCTCTACCTTACTTTCTTGTGAGAATACAGTATACAATACATATAACATCCAGAATATGTGTTGATCGGCTATTTATGTTATTGCTCAGGCTTCTAGTCAACAGTAGGCTATTAGTAGTAAAGTCCCAGGGAGTCAAAAGTTTGACACAGATTTTTGACTGTGGGGGGATTGGTGCTCCTAACCCCTGCATTGTTCAAAAGTCAACTGTGTATTGATTGAGTGTGCGATGCTACCAGACAGGGAGTATTCAGTGGGGGAGTAAGACAAGTAATAAATCACCGATGACCATGCCATGGGGTAACAATGTTCAGTGGACAATGGACCCACTGGAGAGGCCTAACCCAAAAGGCTCTTGGAGGAAGCAGAGTCCAGGGCATCCCCAAAGGGGGTTTGAAAAGCAAAAAAAAAAAAAAAAAAGGTGGAGGAAAAGCATTCAGGGGACAGAAAAGTTCTGCTTGGCTGGAGCAGAGGCTGTGCAGGGGAAGTGGAAAGAAAAGAAGCTGGAAAGGGCCACAGGAGCTGTGTTAGTGACAAGGGCAGCCACTTGTGTTTTGAGTGGCCAAACAAATGTGATCAGTTTGCTTTTCATTGGATCATCCTCACTGTTTGAAGGGAGAAAAGGAGTGGAGGTAGGAGCCCCCCTGGAAGAAGAGAACCCTCTGCGCACCAGGTTGGATCCGTCCTCAGGCCCAGGGAGGCCTTGCCAACCAGTCTAACGAGTAACAGCCTCTCCCCGTGCTGGTTATTCTTTATCACACATTCTGTTTAGCTGCTTCATAGAATTTACCACATTAGGTCATTGTTTTCTTTACTTGTTTATTGTCCACACTTTCTCTAGAGCACAAGGCCCAATTCATGAGGACAGGAAACTTGTATGTCTTATTCACCTTTATGGTATGGCAGCTCTTACCCCAGTGCCTGGTACCCAGGATGTAATCAATAGATGTTTGTTGAATGAAGGAATAATGGTAGGCGTAGAGGCCATTGAGGTGGAAAGAAGTGGTTCGCCAAGTATTTGGGTAAGGTCTGCAGGAGGGTACTGGGTTGGAAGTGGAGGATTAAGGTCAAGAATGGCATCCCATATTTCTGTTTTGAACAACTGGTTAGGTGGGATGTAGAGCTACTGAGTGAGAGGGGGGCACTGGGATGGAACCAGGTTGGAGGGAAATTACTATGCTCAGTTTGGGGCAGCTTGAGCTTGTGTGTCTGAGGGACATCCAAGTGGAGATACGTAGAAGGCATTTGGATACAAGAATCTGAAGCTCAGAAGGGAGTTAAAGGGGAAGAGAGGTAAACAGGAATGTCCTGCAGGGAAAAAAGACTTGGCAATTGATAGACAAGGAGGGAGGGGAAAGGAGAAGCAGAATCAAAATGACATCTTCAATTCTTTTTTAAGTGACATATATTCAGGGACACATGGGTGGCTCAGTCGGTTAAGCATCCGACTTCGGCTCAGGTCATTATCTCTGGAGTCGTGGGTTCAAGACCTGTGTTGGGCTCTATGCTGACAACTTGGAGCCTGGAGCCTGCTTTGGGTTCTGTGTCTCCCTCCCTCTCTTTGCCACTCCCCTGCTTGTGCTCTCTCTCTCAAAAATAAACATCCAAAAAAAAAAAATTTAAATGACATATGTTCATGCAGAATATATCCAATATGGACAAATATAAAAAAGGAGTAAATATTCCAATACACACCAGCACCCATGGATCATTCCTGTTAGCATTTTGGTGACTGCTCTGGATATTTCTTTCTTCTGGATGTTTCTTTATTCTATGTAACTGTATATTTACATTAATAGGCTTATATTTTATACAACTGTTTTCAAAGCATGCTTTTTCTCTTAAAATATGTCATGGAAATATTTCTATGTCAATAAATATGGATCTGCATGATCATTTTAAAGAGCCAATTGATTTCCTTTGTTATGGATATATCATAACTCATTAACCAATCCCCCATGGGTTGACACATAGATTGTTGCCAATTTCTCAATATTATAAATAAAACTATGTAAACACCTGTGTCATCTTTCCCTGTGTATTTGTCTCTTCATTTTGTGAGAGATTATTCTTACACTATTCTACATAGAATAAACAAACACTTTAGATTTTGACATGCCTTGCCAAATTTCTTTCTGGAGAAACTGTTTTAATGTACACAACACACCTGAAGGGCATGAGAAGGCCAGTTTTCCTCATCAGCACTAGTTAACATATAGTGCAGTAGTGGTAGAATTTAGTTATTCATCACTTACATATAACACCCAATGGTCATCCCAAGAAGTGCCCTCCTTAATGCCCATCACCCATTTAAGCCCATCCCCCCACTCACCTCCCCTCCAGCAACCCTGTTCATTCTCTATATTAAGAGTCTCTTATGGTTTGCCTCTCTGTCTGTTTTTATCTTATTTTATTTTTCCTTCCCTTCCCCTATGTTCATCTGTTTTGTTTCTTAAGTCCCACATTTGAGTGAAATCATATGATATTTGTCTTTCTCTGACTAACTTATGTCACTTAGCATCATACACTCTAGTTCATCCACGTGGTTGCAAATGGCAAGATTTCATTCTTTTTCATCACCAAGGGATATTCCATTGTATACATATACCACATCTTTTTCCATTCATCAGTCAATGGACATTTGGGCTCTTTCCATAATTTGGCAATTGTTAATAGCGCTGCTATAAACATTGGGGTGCATATGCCCCTTCAAATCAGCATTTTTGTATCCTTTGGATAAATAGTAGTACAATTGTTGGGTCATAGGGTAGCTCTATTTTTAACTTTTAGAGGAACCTCCATACTGTTTTCCAGAGTGGTTGCACCAGTTTGCATTTCCACCAACAGTGCCAAAGGGTTCGCCTTTCTCTGCATCTTCGCCAACATCTGTTGTTGCCTGAGTTGTTAATTTTAGCCGTTCTGACGTGTGTGAGGTGGTATCTCATGGTGGTTTGTTGTTTTTTTTTTGTATTGCCGTGATGATAAGTGATGTTGAGCATCTTTTCATGTGTCTATTAGCCAGCTAGATGTTTTCTTTGAAAAAGTGTCTATTCATGTCTTCCCATTTTTTCACTGGATTATTTGTTTTTTGGGTGTTGAGTTTGGTAAGTTCTCTATAGATTTTGGATACTAACCTTTTATGAGATATGTCATTTGCAAATATCTTCTCCCATTCTGTTGGTTGCCTTTTAGTTTTGTTGATTGTTTCCTTCACTGTGCAGAAGCTTTTTATCTTGATAAGTTCCCAGTAGTTCATTTTTACTTTTGTCTCCCTTGCCTCCAAAGACATGTCTAGTAAGAAGTTGCCGCAGCCAAGGTCAAAGAAGTTGCTGCCTGTGTTCTCCTCTAGGATTTTGATGGTTTCCTGTCTTACATTAAGGTCTTTCATCCATTTTGAATTTATTGTATAGTGTAAGAAAAAATGAATCTTTTGCATGTTGCTGTCCAGTTTTCCCAGAACCATTTGCTGCAGAGACTATCTTTTTTCCATTGGATGTTCTTTCCTGCTTTGTCAAAGATTAGTTGGCCATATAGTTGTGGGTCCATTTCTGAGTTCTCTATTCTGTTCCATTGATCTATGTGTTTGTTCTTGTGCCAGTACCATACCATCTTGATGATTACAGCTTTGTAATACAGCTTGAAGTCCGGGATTGTGATTGCTTCCAGCTTTGGTTTTCTTTTTCAACATTACTTTGGCTATTCAAAGTCTTTTCTGGTTCCATACAAATTTTAGAGTACTTTTTTCTACCTCTATAAAGAATGATGGTGTTATTTTGATAGGGACTGCGTTGAATGTGTAGATTGCTTTGGGTGGTATGGACATTTTAACAGTGTTTGTTCTTGGGACACCTACCTGTATGGCTCAGTCAGTTAGGCGTCCGACTCTTGATTTTGGCGCAGGTCATGATCTCACAGTCGTGGGATTGAGCCCTGTGTCTGGCTCTGCACTGAGCATGGAGCCTGCTTAAGATTCACTCCCTCTCTCTCTCTCTGCCCCTCCCCCCCATAAATAAGTAAATATTTTTTTAAAAAAGTTTCTTCCTCCCATCCGTGAGCATGAAATGTTTTTCCATTTTTTTGTGTCTTCTTCAATTTCTTTCATAAGCTTTCTATAGTTTTTAGCATACAGATCGTTTACCTCTGGTTAGGTTTATTTCTAGGTATCATATGGTTTTTGGTACAGTTATAAATGGATCAATTCCTTGATTTCTCTTTCTGCTGCTTCATTATTGGTATATAGAAATACAACAGATTTCTAGACATTGATTTTATATACTGTGACTTTGCTGAATTCATGGATCAATTCTAGCAATTTTTTGGTGGTCTTTTGGGTTTTCCACATAGAGTACTGTATCATCTCCACTAGGAAAAATCAGCCTGAGAAGCAGAGCAGCAGGTCTCTCCCCCAGAAGACAAGCACAGATCTCTTCCACCCACTTAGTATATGGATCATTTTGTGCTGCAGAGTTTCAGTTCTGTGGGAAACTGGATTGAGCTTCATTTGGGTTTCTTTTTGTTTGTTCATTTGTTTATTCATTTTCTTTGCTTCTGTTTTTGTTTATGTTGGGTTTTTTTCTTTATTTTTTTTCTTAAATACAGAAAGAGCAAATTTTTAATTTTATTCTTTTATTTTATTCTATTTAATTATTTAATTTTTTTAATTTTTAATTTCTTCTTTTAATGTTTTTTCTTTTCTCTTTTTTCTCTCTTCTATCAAGCTTCTTTTAACTATCAAACCAAAACATAGTGAGGATCTAGCTTCCTTTATTTAATGTTTGTTTTCTATTTTATTTTTATTTTATTTCATTATTTTTTCTTCCTCCAAAATTACAAGACAGAGGAATTCACCCCAAAAGAAAGAACAGGAAGAAATGATGGCAAGGGATTTAATCAACACAGATATAATTAAGATGTCTCAACTAGAATTTAAAGCCACGATTATAAGAATTCTAACTGGGGTTGAAAAAGGCATAGAAGACACCAGAGAGTCCTTTTCTGCAGAGATAAAAGAACTAAAATCTAGTCAGGCTGAAATTAAAAATGCTATAACCAAGATGCAATCTCAAATGAATGCCATGATGGTGAGGATGAATGAAGCAGAGCAGCAAATCAGTGATATAGAAGATAATATTATGGAAAATAATGAAGCTGAAAAGAAGAGAGAAACAAAGGCAAAAGATCAGGATACAAGATGTAGGGAACTCAGCAACTTAAGAGGAATAACGTTTGTATCATTGGAGTTCCTTGTCATACTTTTAAATGAAAACTGTCTTATGGAAATGTTTTCTTTTTCATGTTAATTTTTATTAAAATTCTGTATATCCACAATTTAAAGAGTCAAAGAGTTCTACAAGACTTAAGTGGGACCCCATCACCACTCCATCTTCCCCATTCTTGATTTTCACTCCCCAGAGGCAACAACTTTCAGCTGTTTTCAGAAACCAATGGTGGACTCTCCTGGCAGGTGGTAGGCAGGAGCTCAGCAATGAGCAGTAATGTCCTCATGCTCCTGGAAGATCCCAGTGCTCAGAGGGCCTTATTCTCCCCAACCCCAGGGATGCTGCTTCTTGCCCTCAGCCCTGCAATGGGGGGATAGCCAGAAGCAGGAGAGTGCAAGGGCCACCTCCCAACCCACCCCATGTGTCCCAACCCCCAACCCCCAGCCCATAGGCACCCAGGGTCCTCTGCCCACAGTAATAAAGTGATTGTGCTCCATTGACTCCCTGTTGGCCCCAAATGTGGGGTGAAGGGTTGTGGGAGAGAGAGGCACAGTAAATGGACACATCCAGGGCTGGAGTGAATGCACAAGCACTGTGCCTTTTCCCCCTACTGTCTCTGCCTGCCCCAGCCCAGCCCCAAGCCAGATACCTCACTTTGCCTAAGAGAAGATGGGGCTGGGGAAACCCTGGGGTCTAAAGATTCAACTAGCCCTCTCAGTGGACCTCCTGAGGCTCTCCAGTTGTTTTGACCACCATTTGAATATCAGGGACCACCTGATGGGATCACCCAGAAGCAGGGAACCATAGGGAAGCTGCCAGCATCACCTGCTACTTCACCCATTTCCTCTTTCCTGGCATTATCCTCCTTCCTGGCATTATCTGGCAAGTCCTGGCATTGTGCAAATACTGCCTAAGCCTGTACTTAGCTGTGTTATTCTCTCTTCTAAGGGAACCCCTCAATCTTGTGGCAGAAGCACAGATTTTATTATGAAACCTGTTTACCCCAAGTCAGAGAAATCCTAGATTGAATGGATGGCATTATTTTTTTATTCCATGTGTCAGATTTGCTGGTGCCATTTGAATAAAACATATAGAAAAAACACCTACTTAATATCAGATTTGTGTAACAAATGTCTTATTTGCATTCCCTTCTTTGCTGTCATTGGGGATTTTAGCTTTTAACGTATAGGACTAGGGATTAAGCTGTCTGTGCTCTCCATGAAAGTTTAAGATTATGTTGTTCCAAAGATTGCCTTAAAGGTTTCAAATGACCAAATGTAATAGATTAGTAGTGATCAAGGGAAGGCAGCATGTACCTACAATCTGTAGGTCATTCGAGAACACTTCCTGGTCTCTGTGTTCTCAAGCTCAGTCTGCAAGGGCAAGGCCAGATTACCCTCTTCCCTGGGGCCAGGCTTTAAATTAAATTAACAGGAGGACACAAAAGATGCCCCAAACAAGTCGAGCCTCTGGTCAGCTCGGTCTCTAAAACCTTGAACTTGGGGCGCCTGGGTGGCGCAGTCGGTTAAGCGTCCGACTTCAGCCAGGTCACGATCTCGCGGTCCGTGAGTTCGAGCCCCGCGTCGGGCTCTGGGCTGATGGCTCAGAGCCTGGAGCTTGTTTCTGATTCTGTGTCTCCCTCTCTCTCTGCCCCTCCCCCGTTCATGCTCTGTCTCTCTCTGTCCCAAAAAAATAAATAAACGTTAAAAAAAAAAATTTTAAACCTTGAACTTGGTGATATTTACTCATTGGCATCATTTAAGACACCAGCAACAGGATTTACATATCATATCCCAAAAGCCAAGGGGACACTGCTTATTGGGAGGCCACTGTCTACAACCTCGACTGAATTGCCAAATAAACTACAGGAATGGAGGCTCATCTGATTCTCCGACAGGAACAGAATCAAATATTTATTAACAGTAACTTAATTACTCTTTTGGTGTGTGTGTGTGTGTGTCTTAGTTCAGTAAGCAAATATTCTATTAGGGTTTTCATCCTAAGTTATTGTAGTACTAGGAAACATCACTGTTTTTCATGGCTTGAGTTTCCCATGTAATGCTGTAAAATACAAGCTGAAAAAATGAAGAAGTTTTGAGAAGGGCTCTTTTTGTTTTTTTCAGATCTCTCACACAAAGCTTTCTGCGGATGATGAATGGAAGTAAGTGATTAGAATTTTTTTAATTGTTTAAACTTACATTTTAACTAAAAATTACATTTCCACCTTAACAGTTTGAGAAATCAAACAAAGCCATCATTTATTTGTAAATTTCTCGGGGCACAGAAGTTGGTTTAGTTTAGCATGCATGCACAAAGATAGGATAAACCAAACCGCAAGGATTTCATCTGTTTCCTACAGTGTGATTCATGCAGTCCCACAAAGCTGGGTTTATATGTCCTTCAACATAGGACAGTGTCAAGTTAGTATTTATTATAGGGCACAAGATACATCTGGTTTTCTTTATATGCTATTTCTCCTGTGTTCTGGTACTTACTATGGGGCCAGTAGGGCCCTGTGGGCACCAAAAAAAATGAAAAATGAAAAGTTCCTCCTTTTTTGCATTATGGTAATCAATTATGAATGTATTCCTAATCAAAATAGGAAATACTTATTACATTTGCATACTACTTGATACCTTCAAAGTACATCCACATAGGTTATTTTGAGATGTTTTCATTATCTATAATGATATAATGAGTGTTTTCATTATATATAATTATATATATAATAGATGAATGTCACAAAGCATATTTTGTTTTATATCCATGCAAGTCTTATTTTAGGCTGATGATAAATTCACTCTGCTATCTACATGGCCTAAGTTGAAAGTCTTTTCATTAAATAGAATATTAAATAGTTATTTTGCTGTTGTGCCTGTAAAAACTATAAGTTCTTGTACCCCTTTATTTTTCTTCACTTCCATTTCTTCAGAGGAGCAAGTGTATTTTTTAATGAGCTTCTGGAAATCATTTGTGTTTCTTAAGTTCACTTCCAACACAAAGACTATTACCAATGTAATTTTATTCAGGTTGTTTACCTGATAGGGACTTCATCTTCTTCATTTGATGAGTGTAGGGGTTTCAGTACGTCTAATGTACCTTCCAGCATTAACGTTCTAAGATTCCATCTCAAAGAGGCTGACCTCAGGTAAGATTTACTAGGCTCTACAGGATCATTTCTACACGTTCTCCAGCAGGGGGCACCCTCAGTGCCCTTTTCTGAGGCATCTAGTACTTCTCTACTCGTTAGAGTAGCTGTAGAAGTTATGGTAAAGGGGCTCCTGGATGGCTCATTCCCATAAGGTTAAGCGTCCAACTCTTGATTTGGGCTCAGGTCATGATCTCATGTTTCGTGTGAGTTCAAGCCCTGCATCAGGCTCTCTGCTGGCAGTATAGCCTGCTTGGGATTCTTTCTCTCTCTGCCCCTCCCCTGCTCTCTCTCTCTCAATATAAATAAATATTAAAAAATGTTTAAAAATAAATTATTAGTAAAGGGGGAAGAACCCAACCCACATACCCAAGGGGTGGTGCCTTTAAAAGGCTACAATCTTATGGCACAGAGTATTACCCTGCAGTGTTTGTGGGGTTTTCTTTAAGTTTATTTATTTATTTTGAGAGAGCATGAGTGGGGGGGGGGGGGGAGAGAAAGAGAGAGAATCCCAAGCAGGCTCCACACTGTCAGCACAGAGCCTGACTCGGGGTTCAAACTCACAAAACTCTGAGATCACGACCTGAGCCGAAATCAAGAGACGCTTAACGGAGCCACCCAGACACAGCTCTGCAGTGTTTTCTGATGTGCACACTAAATTCACACCGTATCTAGTCATAAGTGGAAAGAAACTTCAAGAGATTTTGTGACTCATGGTGCCCCACTGGGGATGAAAGATAATGCTAACCACTATTTATAAAGTACTTGATTGGCAACATTCATAATTTTCCCTGTTGCCCTAATCTTGACCCTGGACTGCTCTCTCTTCCTCTAGCCCAGTGATTCTCAATCTTGGCTGCATCTTAAAATCACATTGGGAACTTGAACTACCATAACAAGTACCACAGACCAGGTGGTTTAAACAGAAATTTACTTCCTCACAGTTCTGGGGGCAAGAAGTCCCAGATCAAGGTGTCAGCACATTTGGGTTCTCCTGACACTTCTCCTTGGCTTGCAGATGGCTGCCTTCTCACTGCATCTTCATATGGTTTTCCCTCTGTGTGAGTTTATAACGGATCTCCTTCTAAGGACACCAGTCAGATTGGATTAGGCCCCACCCAGTGACAGCATTTAACCTTATTCCTTAAAGTTCCTATCTCCAAATACAGTCACCTTCTAAGGTAACTGGTGGGGAAGGGGGGGTAGGACTTTAACATATGAATGTGGGGAAGCCCACAGTTCAGCCCATAGCACACAGAAATGGTCATTTAATTGATCTGGCCACAGCTTGGACATTGAGACTTTTAAAACTCCCCAGTGATTTCCAATTTACAGCAACATCAAGATCCACTGCTGTAAGCTTTCTTTGAAGCCACTTCTGCTATAGGAAGTTAAACCAGATGACATACTGTTACAGTGTTTTCTCTACCGTTATGCAAAACCAAGAGTCCAACTAAAAACTGAAACATTCAGCCATCATCTAAATATGCCCGCCTAAGATAATACTTAGGCTTCCTCTTTCTCCTTATAATGAAAAAAAAAAAAAAATTATACGGCTCACTCAGGAGTTTTCTGGAGGCCTTTGGATAACATTCTCTCCATTAGCACCATCTGCAGGATATCCTTTTACTTCAAAATATTAAAAATTACTTGAAATTACCATATTTTACTATTTTGACTTTCGAAAATGGAAATTTCATATTATTTAATCTAATAATAATCTATAGATTATATGTTATATAATATATTACATAGTTTATTATAATCTAATAATAATTATTATTCCTTATTTAAGAACAAATAAAATAACATGGGGTTTGCAGTTCGAGAACAATCTTGTGAAGTACCGAGGGGCCATTATTTTAAGTTTGCAAGGGGGCAACTGAGCTGCAGAGAGGATGAGTCACTTTCACAAGTCTGTGTGGCGATGGGACTGGTATGCAGGTCTGTCCAGAGCCCATCAGTGATTTTTTCAGCCCCATCCCTTAACTTGAAAGGACAAGGCTGAGGCCAAAACCACACAGGCAAGCTAAGGGCTGAGAGGAATCAGTATCCCTGATGAACTCAGGTTCCTCCTCTCCATTGCCCCCTCCTCAAGCCTGGGAGAAAAGGAAAAATTAAAAAAAATTGTTTTTAATTTAAAAAAACAACCAGGAAAACTATAATCAAAGCTTAAAACCCCCTACATTTGAAACCTCCAATTGCTTTCTATGAGCCCAAACTTTTTTTTTTTCCTAAATATACTGTGCAAGGGTTGAGGCCTTTTTCAGATGACCTCATTTGCTGGTTCCAGCCTGCAGCAGGAAAGGATGTACAAGATGCACCGGGGCCATGAGTCCATGCACGTGGAGATGATCTTGATCTTCCTCTGCGCACTGGTCATCGCCCAGATAGTGCTGGTACAGTGGAGACAGAGGCATGGCCGGTCCTACAATGTGAGTTGCCCCAGGGGGACTTCTGGAATCCTGTTCTTCCTGCCACATCCCTCCCTTGAAGGAAATGCTTTGGTTTCAGTCAGTGGTTCTCAACGAGGTGTAGTCTTGCCCCCAGGCGATACTTGGCAACATCTGGAAACATTTTTGATTGTCACGCCTTAGTGGGAAGGGAGAGGAGGATGGGAATTACTTCTGGCTTGTAGTGGGTAGAGGCCACGGAGGCCACTAAACGTGCACAGGACAGCTCTTCGCGATAAAATGTCAATAGTAACAAGACCAAGAATCCCTGGTCTAAGTAAACCAATTTTCCTTTAGCAATAGCAACTTCTGCCAATGCCCTAGGAAAAGGAGGAATTGGAATAGCAGAAACAGAAGATTGAGGCTAACTTTGAGAAATAAACTCTCTTGGCATTGATAATTTGCATATCTATGGGAATGTGTTGATGCCAACATTGCACTGACCTCATCAGTAGAGTTTGATCCCATTTTCATACACTAATCCCACTCGAGCAAAGTCCCCTGGAACTTTGCCATCTCATGGGCTCAGAATCGTAGCTCAGGCCATGTTGGACCTGAGACCTTCCTACTGCAATGTTTAAGAGCAGTGGTTCTCAAATTTTAAGGTGCATCAGAATCACCTGGAGAGGTGAATCGGTTTGTTAATCAGATTTCCTGGTCCCACCCCCAAAGTCCTGGATTGAATAGGGGCCCAAGAATTTGCATGTCTAACAAGTTCTCCGGTGGTGCTGATGCTACTGGTCTGAGACCACATTTGAGAATCAGTCATTTAGATTTGAGTATGTTGCACAGGAAGAAAGTCCTCAATTAACACTACATGGTTCTGGGTCTTGGACTTGTCACTGTATAAGAAGACTTATCTGTGATGTATGAAATGCTGGCTTAGACCAGTATTTTATTGTATTTCATTTTTAACCATCACAAAAATTATTCCCTTTTGAATTCTGCATACTGTTTAAGTTTAGACAATTTGAACATTTTATTTAGAAAGGGACATCCTTTTTTTTTTTTTTTTTTTTTTAAGCAAACACATTTGCTGCCATGCCAGTGCTGTCTTGTCAATTAAAATAAACATCCCCTGGGGCGCCTGGGTGTTTCAGTCAGTTAAATGTCCGACTTTGGCTCAGGTCATGATCTAGAGGTTCAGGAGTTCAAGCCCCTCCTCAGGCTCTCTGTCAGCGCAGAGCCCGCTTCAGATCCTCTGTCCCCGCTCTCTCTGTCCCTCCCCCACTCATTCATTCTCTCTCTCTCTTTCTCTCCCCTCTCTCTCTCAAAAATAAACATTTAAAAAAATTTTTAATAAACATCCTCTATATTGCACTTGAACAAATTGTTTTTAAAAGAAAAAGACTAGAATAAACTTTCATTAGTTATTCACTTATACAAAAGAAAACCTCCATAATATATGTTAACCATGGTTTTCTTATCTGCAAAATGGAAATAACCTAATATACAGAATCTCTGGAGTCCTTAAGTAAGAAGAAACCTGAATTCTTAAGGAAACCATTCATAGCCCTGTTCCATAATTCCTTTATAACTGATAATTATCTCTGGATTAGATATTTTAAAACATGTCCAGTTTCCATGGCAACATAAGTACAGATTTTGCATAGAAAACCCCCTGCCCTTGAAAGGAAATGCCTTATGAGCCACCTGACCTGCATTATACCCCACTACTCCAACACCATTTTTATTTGATGACTTTCGAGGCGGCTTATCCCAAAAAAGACTATGTCCTTGTCTTGTATTTGAAGAAATTGCCCGTTTGTCAACTCTCTGAAGATGTGTATCACCACATCAGTCAATGTGGAGCTCACACAATGGCTCTACCTAGCCACAGATATACCTGCCCATGGATCAGAGGCCACTTGAAGGACTTGTTGCCATTGGAGGTTCTAACCCTTAATGAATCAGGCTACACTGGTCCCAGGCAGACATCCTTGAGCTCAACAACTGTTGGTTAGCTGGAGGGTTCTTCCCAAATTGTTTCTTATTGCTCACTACATAAGCTGTGCTGCCTGGAATAACTTCCAGGCTTGTTACTTTCACTTGCACCCCATCCTTCACCAACAACTGGACTCCCTTAGTCACCCCACTTCTCCCCAAAGTTGCTGTTTCTGTGTTCTTCTATCACACAGGTCCTCTATTTTATGGCTACCAAGAGGGGTTCTGTGGTCCTAAGGATCCCCTTGGAGGTGACCAGATGACTGTGATAGTGGCCTCTCTTTTTTTAATTTTTTTTTTAACATTCATTTTTTGAGAGACAGAGACAGAGTGTGAGTGGGGGAGGGGCAGAGAGAGAGGGAGACACAGAATCCGAAGCAGGCTCCAGGCTCTGAGCTGTCAGCACAGAGCCCAACACAGGGATCAAATTCATGAACTGTGAGATCATGACATGAGCCCAAGTCAGATGCCTAACCGACTAAGCCACTCAGGCACCCCAGTGGCTTCTGTTAGAGTGATCCTGCCTGGCACTTTAACAAAGCCGGGAACCCAAATGAAGATAGCCCACAGTGGTCAAGGACAGATTTTGGTCTCATGGTAGCTCTATTGGGACTCTGCTAGATTAGCTCATAATCACGGTTACCCTCTAGAATATTTCCTACGTCTTTGCCCACTGGTCAATCTATATTATGCATTGTCCCAAAGGAATGGGTGGAGTAGCCCCTTTTCCCTGCATGTCTCTGTTGACAATCTTTGGCTCAAGTTGAGAGCCAGCATGTGAGGCTGATCTTTCCCATACTGCTGCCTCAGATTTGCCCCATACTTTGCATTTCTTCTAAAGAGTTCACTGCCAGAGCCAGTCATCAGAACACAGCCATTTCAGGAACTCGTGGTGAAATCTGTAACCATTGAATTTGGAAATGGTTTCCAGAGCAATAATAGCTGATTCCAGCACTAGTTTCCAGCTTTCTTATTGTACTCTGCATGAACTGTATCAAAAAAACCCTGCACCTGACATACTCTTCAATTTAACATCTTTTGTTTTGAAAGTTTATTTTTATTTATTTTGACAGAGACAGAGAGAATGGGGGAGGGGCAGAGAGAGAGAGGGAGAGTCCCAGGCAGGCCTCTGAGCTGCCAGTGCAGAGCCCGATGTGGGGCTCCAACTCACGAAACTATGAGATCATGACGTGAGCTGAAATCAAGAAGAGTTGGACACTCAACTGACTGAGTCATCCAGGCACCCCTCAATTTAACATCTTTGGGATGGAATTTGATAAGGACATGTTTCCACAAATGTTGAATTGAACAGCCTTATCATCCAGGGAAAACCTAACTTTTACATTGTTTCTCTTGGCATCTAAGATCATGTGACATCTAGCAGAACTACAGAGAGTTTTGAACATATTTATAAGATTCATGAAGTTCTTGCCTCTTTTCTACGAGGGGCCATATAATACAGTTTATTTCTATTATTCAATTTTATAATCTCTATCAGTTTATTAGTAACATTATTATTTATAACATTTTAATTATAATTCCTATAGTAACAGATTTGTATATAAATTACTATATATAAATATTTACATATAAATTAGTTATTATTAAGTTGTGATAAGTGTTTTTTTATACATTATCTAAATTACTCCAGAAGACAATTATTTTTTATCCCCTTTGTGAAATACAGTTCAGAGGAATTAAAAAACTCAGTCAGGGTTATATAACTAACTAGTTGCAGAGTGGAGACTAGAATCCAACCTCACTAGTTTTTTGGGGTTTTTTTTTCATGTCAAGGATAAGCTCCTTAAATATTCTCTGCACCATGCTTTCCTAATCTGCAAAATGGAAACACTGAAGGTGGGAACCTATCTCCAAAGTTACTAGAATTCAAAAACATTTCCCCCTGAGAACTTCTAGCACAGTGACTGATACGTAGTGAGTGTTCAGTACCATGAGTTGAACTCTGAATGCATTCAAAAGATATTGATATAATATATAATAGTTTAAAATTTTCAATCACACACAGTGAAAGCAGTTTATTAATAAAAGAATCCTTTTCTGAACCCTTTTGTAAACCTAAAGCTAATACTCAGCTGTTAATGTGCACTCTCTGTTACAAGATCTCAATGTATTGTTTTTTTCCAAAGCAGTGCACCTGCTTCTCCTGCCACACCCTCTGCTCTGCCATATGCTTTGCCCACACACTGTTCCCCAGGCTGGTTTTGTGAGATGTGTTAATAGCAACCAGAGGCAGGATGGTAAAGGGAAGAGTACCTGCTTAGGAGTTAGTTACAAGAATTCAGCCACGCATTTAACCACAGTGAGCCTCCATTTCCTGATATTTCAAGTGATGGAATTTTTAAAAATAGGAATGAGTTTTGGTTGTAGCTCTGACAGGTAAAAAGCTTGAAAGTCATCACCCCCATCTTACCACAAGAAACACCTAGACAGACTGAACGTCAATAAGTTTTCTCGGATCTATCAGAGAATTAAGGTTAGTGGGAAAACCACCAGCCAAAATCTGGAAAGACGGGGGAATGCAGGGAATCACAGTGGAGATCTCCTGACTGGGAGCAGAAGCTCCAAGAGCCGCACAATGGTTAGAAACACGTAAGGAGTGACTTCAAAGAATTGCTGGAAGTGGAGTTTAGACTAGTGTGAGAGAGAAACTGTTGGCGGCCACAGTCTTAGGGACTTCCTCATAGTATTTTAGGTTTCCAGCTCCAGGAACGCCACCAGATTCCCATGGTGTAGTGCCAAGGGGGAAAACAAACAAACAAACAAACAAACAACAACAACAAAAAAAAACCTTTGTGCTTCTGGCCGAGGGAGGGGAAAAGTAATCATTCTGAACTAGACCCACAGTGTTCTCCATCACAGAGACACAGCAATGGAAATCAGAGCCTTCTCCAGTATGGGGGAAGAGAAATTACCCACTCCAGCCCCCTCTAGCCTTCCTGTCTCATCCAAAGGAAAAACTAAAAGTTTAAAGACACTTGTAAAGATCGTGGCACAGAGACAGAGGCCCACAAAAGCAC